CTTAGAAAAAGTAAGAAGACTCCATTTTCCCCTCAGTAAGTGCGTCCTTTAGGGCTTGCACTAAGAATATATTTTTCCATATGTCTGTGACTCAGTATGCGAGCCTGATCATTGTTGCCTAATAAACACAACATGAATTCCCACTAGAAGTCAACTAATGGGTACTTCAAGTGCAATTTTCCATGCGTGTTAAATAAGTAAGTTGAAAATTTTGCTGCTCTGAAGTTCCTTTGGTGAGCAGGGTTGTATTACGAGGGGTTTTGGACAAGTCTTTGCTTAGATTACAGTCTCATAAAAGAAAAATTACACTATAACACTGCCCCTCCATAGGATAATTTTTATTTTTTTGGATGCAGGATTTCTTCAGCAACCATTTGAATTACAGTCCATTATCTCTGTAAATGGTACCCCCCTCTGTCTAAAAATGAAAACTGGTAATTAAAGTAGTTTGAAATTTCAATAATTGTGAATAATTTAAAAACATAAATGGCATATTCTATGGGGTTCAATAACATTTTATATATGTACAGATGGAAAGGAAACAAAATAAACTCTGCCTTTACTAAAAACCAGGATTCTTTATTTTAGCCAAGATTGTCTTTGTCCACAAAAAGTACAGGAAATTGAAGATGTAATAATCAAGGCTTAATATTTGTGCGCTGCTGGAGTGCTTCTGGGTGATTATATTTTAACAAAAGTTAATGGCCAAGTAATGGAAATAATGAGCTGAAGTGAAAATCCAATATGAGTTTGATGAGCAGAACATTCTGAATGAAAGTATGCTAGAGGAGAAAATCCCCATGGAACCTTTTATGCCTTAGTACTCCTGGAGCTTATTAGTTTTAGTATGAAAATGGACATGATTGATAAAGGAACCTAAATGCATATGTACTGATAATCTTTAAAAGTGATGGGGCAAAACCTGGAGATTCCTTGAAAAAAACAGTATGAAAATTTTTGGAAAGCCTTCTTCTCTATTTCCATTAACTCGTCACATATATTGACCTATTTGCACATGGCCTATAATGCTGATCATGGAGCAAGTAAATATTCAGCCTGCTAGTACAGAAACTATCCCAAAGACACTGAACTAGAAGTAGCTAGGTTGGTGAGAATGGCCATGCCAGGAATAGATGATGAGAACTGGAGATTTGGGGCTCAAATGGACAAAGAACATCAATTTAGGGGCATAGATTAATGAATAACAAATTTATCACACGGAAGACCTAAAGACTCCTTTGATCTCAGATAATAACTTAATTCTTAAGTACTCTTTCCCTTAACCACTGGCGAAAGAAAAAGGGAGTGGTAAAAATTTCCAGAACTAATAATAAAAAAAAATTGATGCCAGTATTCAAAGATTCAAAGGTCCAAAGGATACCATCATCATCACCTCCCCTATTAACATTGTCAGCAGTAGCATCATCATCACAAACAATATTCACTGAACACTTATTAAATGCCCTATATCAGCCAGTGTATTTTACATACAAAATGTCATTCAATTCTCACAACTCAATAGGTTACTCTTTTGGATTCAAATTTCATAAGAGGGGATATAAATTAAGTAACTTGTTGAAACCTTATAGTCTGCAGGATAAGCAGAGCAACTAAGTCCTGTTTTATACAGTGGGTTATACTGTTACTCACAGTGTTACAGTGCTTTGTAAATTACAAATTCTATAGACTTATAATCAGTCATCATCATTATTAGCAATAACATGATTTACTGTGTGAGCAGCAGTTCATACGGAACATTTGTGATATGAACAATTCATTCTTTGATATAAACAACAAAAAACTATAAACAACTCACACACTCTAATACAATCCATTTTCTTATATACTTTATGTTTATAATTTAGGGCCAAATAAATGAGATATTTTGCAACATATAAGCAGGCAACTTGTTTATTAATCAGATTTCTTCCAAAAGTCATACTATGTTCTGGTCATTACTTATTGAACTTTAAAATTTAGGATAATGATTTACCTATTTCTTTAGTGAAACAGACGAATGCAAAAAAAAAAAAAAAAAAGAACGCTGTGTTTTGAAGACCTCCTTCCCCCAAAAAACAAAACAAAACAGAACCTGGAAGATTCAATCAAAATTTAGCAGAAAAAGACAAGTCAATGAGTTATTTGGCCCTCTGTTGATAAAATGTGATTGACAATTAAACTTCAGTTATTATGACATTGCATTTAGAGTTTAGAGTTAACTTACAGTTAACTCTAGATTCAAATTCAACTTTTTGAGTTTCTGACATGTTTTCAGATTAACAGATGACTTTTTTCTGCAATCAAAATCTTTCCTTAAAGTTTTATGTCATTGCTCTGGACATAATTTTATACTTTGAAATTGCTATACTTCTCTCATTTAAATGTTTCTCTTATAATGCATTATTACTTTAACTCTTTTTCTCCAGTATAATAAATACTAGTCTTTATTTGCCTATACAGGAAACCATCATTTGCTCTTCCAATCTTTAATTTGGAATGAACCCAAATAACTACGAAAATTATGAATAAAGGCCAAAGCTAATTCATTTAACTTTTTTTCCCCAGTTGTAGTTTGGATGAGTGGGGAACATATTTGATGTAGATCACATGAATGGTGAATATATTTATAGGCCAATAAAATAAACCATGACTTGAATCTGTAGTCCCAAGGTGAAATATATGACACAAACATTTCAAAGCCTTAACAGTTTTCTAACACCTCCATTTCCACTTAAATTTATATTTACAACTCTTATCAAATAGTTGGTGTGCTTTAAAAATAGAGGGAAGTAATCTAAAATATCTGTTAGAAAATAAGTTGTCATATATAACTGAGATACTATTTTAAAGAATGTATTATATATACATTTGATAATCTAAATTTCAAGTCTCCATTCATATATTTAGAATATAGTTTTCTAAATATCTCTGTCTTGTACTGCTTCGTGGAATTCTTCCTATTGTTATTTAAATCTTAGTTTCTTATTTTAATATTTGAATGTTTGTGTTTTTTATATACAGCTAGATTATATTCTTCGTGAAACCTGGGACTGGCCAATGTGGTATCAGATTGTACATCAGTAATAATGGTATTTTGCAAGTATGCCTGTTGATTTTAAAAGTAAAAGTGCACTACACCTTTTGGCTTTGTTGTTACATTAAAATAGTTTACAGACCAAAATATGTAGACCAGGGTAGGCAAAATGCTAAGTAAATGTGTCCAAGTCTTGCTTTTACCTGAATAAATAAAAATACATTTCAGCCTCCTCTTTGAAGAGAACTTTGTCCAGAGGTATTGACATCTGGAAAAGCTAAGTAATCTGAGTATGAGGTCAGTGTATTATCTCACTAAGCTGAGGGTTAGCGGGGAAGAGAAAGGGGAGCAAGAAAACTGAACAATTCACAAACTGTATTTTTAAACTTCTGGAAAACAGAAAAGTTTACTATGCTTATATTTGCTCAATAGAAAACTCACATTCCTGTTCCTCTCTCAATACTTTTGCTTTGACAAAAGAAATGCCACCTAAGTCTTTAAAACTCCATGTGATGCCTATGAATAGTTGATGAAGAACATTCTACATGAACTAAAATAAATAGAAGAAGGCTCATGTGTCATTGACAAACATAAAACAAAGTAATGATAGTATACAAATTTTTAATACATTCAGAAAAGATGATAACCAAGCAATGTAAATTATTTGTTCTTACTATACAAGAAATGATTTTCTTCTGCTTTAATAAGGTTTGTGTCAGGTGTTTTTTTTTCATATTTCCTTGAGCAACAATCCAAAAAAATTCAATTCACCCATACGCAATTCAACCATATGGAATACTTATCTTGCAGTTTGTGATCTTTCCCAGCTCCCCACACACCCCCTATAACAAAGACAAATTTTCTTTCAAAACAAGATGTCCAGTATGACCCATGTCAATTCCCAGTGATCACCTTTTCCAGGCGGCATAGATCCTTGGCCCTAAACTGAACCTAATCATTCCACAACTTATTTCACCTAAGACAGGCAATTTAAATCAGTGTTTCTCAGATTCGAATGGGAAACAAAAATATTCTAAAGAAATTTTTCAAATATTTCAAAATATTCCAAAATTACTTAAAGAAATATTCAAATAGACCCCTAATGCTGACTTAAATTATTTCAACTCTATGGTTACTTAGATCTGGACAAACATAGAACAAGGCATAAAGTCCTTATCCCTTTAGATCAAATGAAAACCAAAACTCTGAAACAACATCTGCAACATTATTTTAACATAATGGAGGATAATATTTTGTCAAAGCTGAATCACCATGTGCAACACCAATATGGTAATGATTGATAGAGCATGGAACTTTTGAACCTGGCATACAAGACTGTCATGTGATGATTAATTCTCTTATTGTTTTTCCCAATTTGTACTCCTGTGGTGTCCTTTGGCTTTACTTACCAAAGACAAATCTTTACACGTTAAATATTCCTTTGCACATTTCTCATTTGCCTGTGCCAATCAAAGTAATCTTATATTATTTTGCATCAACATGATTGAAAACATAAAGGCAAACATAGGCATAAATTTCACTTGGAAATATTCCATCATAAAGTGATCATCCAGAAGATCCAGAATATGTTTCTATTATTTTTAATATTAATATTGAAATGAGAATACAACCCCTAAAAATTATCGTAGATAACTTGTGGATCCCCGAAGCTACAGACCCAAAATGATAACCAAAAATAACTAGCTTAATGAAAGTATTTGCTTTCTTCATAATCTGCTGAAATTCCCAATTAGTGGTGAAACACCATGGAGGCAAAGAAGTCTGATTATAGTGAAGTAGATCTTTGGGTTCTTTTTTAATCACTAGATAGACAAAACCATATTTCACTTAGTTCATGAAATATGTCTCACAATTATTGCAAGACTCTTTCATGTATACTTTGTATCACCTGTAACTTCAAAAAAGTCTGATCTTAAGAATTTGAAATATGAAATAGACTTCTAACCTTTTGTTCTCTCTAACTGCTTTGTCTCCCTTCTTCCAAGAGATGGTTGGTTTTGGAGAGCCTTGGGGCTTGCACTCCATGGTGACTTCTTGGCCTTTGGTAACAATTATTGTTTTCTTTAGATGATTCAGTGCAAAAGTGGGAGCTGAAGCTATGAAAAAGAAAATGTTAGTTCTACCAGAAGCAATGACAATGACCTCTAATGGGATACATTTCTATTAAAAATCATAGAATAGGTACACATGTAAAAGGCATGGACTCAGAATTTAATTTATTTTTGATTAATACATATCTTACAGCTAGTCCTTACATTAGCAGGTAATGGTTTCATACAATGTGGGCTCACAGACAAAGCCTACTTTAAAAAATGACATGATTTAATTATGATTATCAACCTTAACTGTGAAATACTAATGAGCAGTTTGCATAAACAGTGAAGAGGCTGGCCAAGGGATTCTATTTTGGGCTTCCTTTGGAAAACTGGAGATTACCTGTGGAGAAGGCAATCCTGCATCATCCATTTCTTTTATAAGTCTTGAATTAATGTATATTTTACTTTAATATTATACAAAGTTGAATATAATTTTCAAAGAAATATACTTTTAAGAGATTGAATGATTTAAGTTTCAATTAAAATTTTTATTTAATTGGTTGTAATTATTCACCTAGTCTGATTATTCATTAGTATTAATATTGTGTTTACTAGATTTTTACAAAGATACTTTTGATTTAAGCTTCCCAAGTAATTTCAGTGGGTGGCTGAGGTTGAGGACACCGAACTAAAAGAACACATGACACAGAGATTATTACAAGTTAAAGAAAAAAAAAGACACTTTTGAATGTAAAAGAGAACTTGAAAGATATGTCTACAAGTCTACTGTATCTGAGACATTCATTTATATCAAAGTGACAATTTCATGGATATTTCATAAGTATTTTATATCCATAATATAGCAGTATAATGCATGGCACAAACAATGCTAAAAGATATGTATGCAACATAAAACAGATATGTACACAAATGAAACAGGTTAAGAAACTGAAAGAAAAGTGAAGGAATTTAAAAAAAAATTTATTTATTTATTTTTTGGGGTTGAAGGAGATTGGCTCTGAGCTAGCATATGCACCAGTCTTGCTCTATTCTTTTTGCATGTGGGACACCGCCACAGCATGGCTTGATGAGCAGTGTGTAGGTCCGCACCCAGGATCTGAACCTGTGAATCCCAGGCCACAGAAGCAGAGCGCTCCAACTTAACCACTACAGCACCAGGCCAGCCCCTAAGGAAACTTTTGTGGCGACTACAGGCAACAATTTTGGTTGCCTACTGGGAATAAACCTTACAAGAGGTACTTTTGAAAATCTGTGTACTGAATGAGAAAAGGACACCTTTGATAGTGTTTCTGGTTAACCATCAACTGGGTGAAGGCTGAATCAGCTTGTTAATTCAGAAATGTTGGCATGTGAGCTGACAAACAAGTACAGTAATAATTGATTGGTTAGGCTTTAGGCAATTGAAACATGGACTCCTGTTATCTATTTTGGACGGATTTGTTCTAACGTGGAGACGTTTCAAGCGCAAACATTTATAATTCAGTAACTTCCAAGATTCTTAAGATCTTGGGTGTTTCTGTTAATGTCATGCTTTGGGAACTTAAGTGGGGAGTAGAAAGTACACTTGGGCCTTTGTCAACTTTTGTGAGACGATGAGTTAAGATCACTTAAGTATCTCTCTTTATATTACAAACATCCCAGACCCAAGGTTTAGGAAATCATCATAGTAGGAAAAGTAAAATCCACTCCAGTGGTACAAATACGCTCAATCTGGGTACCCTATTCCAGTGGATGGAATCTTTCCTGTTGTATTTACTTATTTATTTTGCTGATGAAGATTCACCCTCAGCTAACATCCACTGCCAATCTTCCTAGTTTTGTACGTGAGCCACTGCCACAGCATGGCCACTGACAGACTAGTAGTGTAGGTCCACACGCAGGAACCGAACCTGGGCTGCCATAGTGGACAGTGCCGAACTTAACCATTAGGCCACCAGGGCTGGCCTTCCTGTAGTACTTAAGTAGTGAAGTAGTGCCAGTGTCCTGGTGATATTCTTACCAAGCGTGTAACCCTATGAGACTGCTGGGCCTGGCCTCAGAAAGGCTTTCCTTTTTATGTAAGGATGATAATGGTTGATGCTCCATGATTGGAGATGCTTTACCCTGGAGTTCTGCTTTGCAGGAGCCACATGCCCACTGGTAAGTAAGAACTGCTTGGGAAAATATGAAGCATTGCTGTAGGAGCAGGGAGAGGCTGCTGGAAATCTACATTCTGATCCCCTACCCTCAAGACATTCCTTTTTGAAAGTTAACATGTATTTCTTATATGATTTCTTTTAATGCCATAGAAAAGATATTGTACAAACCTGTTAAGATTAAAACTAAAGTTTAAAAAACCTCACAAAATGTTATGGGGCAAACTGTACACAATGTAAACTTGTTCCCTAAAGCTTAAGAAAGTGTATATCAGCAAGGCATAGTATTTCTTTTCCAGCTATAAAATTGGTTTTTACAATCACATCATAAAACTTCAGTGTAGTAAGAATTAGAGCATGAAAAGAAACAACACTTTTTCCTATGTATTGACTTAGAAATTGCATACCTAGAATCTTCAGCTCAGCACTTGCGTAAATGGCTCCATATTTATTTTCAGCCAAACACTGATACATTCCAGCATCTGATTGATTCACATTGTGGATCATCAATACTCCATTAACCATCTCAACCCTACTCTGTAATGGAATAAAAAAAATTAGATATAGAAAATGAAAAAATCATACAGATTTTGCAGTTGCTCTCTCCTAGACTGAGAAAAAAAATGCCTCCGATTAATGCAGTTGAGTGTTATTTGGCAACATAGCAACACAAATTTACTGTTCATTATTTTAACATGTCTTTTGTGAGTTACAATTAGTTCTTGGTCAGAAAGGAAATTATAACTATATTTTCCTGTACTTATGAGTTTTAGTTTTAGTTTTGTTCTTAAACTGAGCTACTTTTGTTTGTATCCTGGTTGAGTCTCTGAAGGATGAACAGCAGATGGTACTTTTCTTTAAATTCATTTTACAAAGAAGAAGCAGGGGTTGACATGGTGGAAAGGGTGGTGCCTGTAGACACATGAGATCAAGGTTAAAAATAGCCCAGGTCACGACAAGAATCTCTTTGCTATATTGATCTGGTCAGGACTTTACATTTTCTCTCACTTCCCAAAAAACTAAAACACGTAAAAAAGTGCCCTGCAACTGGATTCTGTATAAAATTATTGTTCAGAAAATATAAACTTCATTATCAGACAAAACTTAATATAGAAGTCAGAAAATTCAGGTCAACTGCAGCCAAGAGGACATTTCGAAAACAAATTTTAAATTTTGAAGGTTGTTAAACACACCAGGAGTCTTGTCTACTTAATGCCAAGCAAATCATTTTTTTAATTTAGCCAGCAGTGCTTTATCTATCAGTAGAGACGCCAAATAATTTGACATCATTTTCAAAAGAAGCCCGTTCATTTTGCAGATGTATTATCTGCCAATGGAATTTATTTTATCTGGGAGTAGAAAATAAGACCAACATCGCCCCTTCTCAAGGTTTATCTGGTGTCTCAGGAGAACTGGAGAGAAAGAGGCAATACATCAATGTCTCAGGATTCCACTCACCTTCAGCTCTATTGTTCTTTTTATTTGTGTCCATCTTTTTGGTAAGTGCATTTTGTTTTGGCCTAACTGGTTCTAGGAGAAGGGGATTTTGGAGCTGGAAGGGACTGTGGGATGATCTGATCCAATCTCTTCATTTTACAAAGGAGCAAACTGAAGCCCAAAGAGATAAATGACAGACAAGAGGCCCATTGGAATGGCAGGACCTAGGCAGAACCTGTATTTGGAATTTCAACTTTGTACACTTCCCCTCCATTTTGGCCATAAATAGTGACCTATTCCCTTCTTCCCTCCTTCTTGCAAAGGCCATAACAAGGGAAAGAATCAGCTAAAATTATTACCATTATTCTGAAATTAAATAGTAATTGATTTATATTCAGATCCAGTACCCATTAAGTTGTTTTAAAAACACTCAGTAGATTTACCAAACAGATATTTAAGTCTATTGGTAGCAAGATGGCACAGAAAGAACCTGCCCAGGACACAGAAGACTAGAATTCTATTCCAATGTCATCTCTAACTAGATATGCAATCTTGGGCAAGCCACTTTAGTTCTTGGGTTAACTCCATCATCTGCAAAGTGACAGCAACAAGCTAAATGATATCTAAAAGCCAGCTAGAAATGGCAATGAGTCTATGATAGTCATTGATATTTTCCTATGACTTTATAAGATTGAGTAAAATTTAAAGAAACAATGTATTACTCAAAAGCTAATGACATAATTAAAAATAAAATTTGGTTATATATTTGTTATATTTCTTACTCCAAATATATTATAAGGCATAAGTAAGAAATAGCTTTCAATAAGACTCATGGAGGATAATTTGACCTGTGTGAAATCCTGCTAACATTTCACTGGAACAGGCTCATAGTCACCAACAGTACCTGAGGCAAGAGGGGCACTCCATTCTTCAGCCAACGGTATGTGGGTCTGGGTTTTCCGGTAGCCTTACATTCCCATCTGAGAGGGCTCCCGCTGTCCAACTGAGTATCATTCAGTTTTTCTACCCAGTGTGGGTAAGCTGTAAGAGTTTAAGCATTAAGGAAGAGCGATTTCATTTCTCAGACACTTTACCAACTTCGAAATTCATATGGAAATAATTATTACATTAAAAATGTTTTAAATCAATTCTTGTAACTATGGACGTTTGGAAGAGGCACAGCATTGCATTACACACAGAACTCTATTTCCTGTGTAAAAAGAATATAGCAGCGATGATATTTTGATAATTTAAATTACTTTTGTAAGCTAAGTGAAGTATATCTTATTGTTTTACCCACTTTACAGCAAGTGGCTAGATTCTCCCCAAGGCACCGGAACCTGTTTAGTAGGAAGTCCGGTACTTGGAGGCATCACTTTTTGCAAGTATTAGGGCAGCATTAGCACAAGTTGAAGTAATACAACATGTCCATTTATTGAATAACTGCTCTTCTTTCTTTTTTCCCAATAGAACCTGAATGGCTTCAGAATAATAATTTATAAATTCAAATTTCACTTGGAAAAATTTTTCTGTATTTTCTATATTTACAAAATAGCATTCTTCAAATATATTTATTTAAGAAAAAGCTTTGGAAGTTCCAACAGAGAGATATTCCTATATCAATAAAGAGACAATGTTGTAACTGTATGAAAACTATAACATACAAGTTAATGTGTCTTTCCTCCTTTGCCTCATTTTTAAAATAAAAATACGAAAACAAGTGACTCTTTGTCCAAAATACTCTGTTTGAAACAATTAAAGCAATACATGCAAAAAAAATATTGAACTGAATTATTTCTCTCTAGTAACTTTTTTTGGCACAAAACTAAAAAATACTCTACTTTGTGCTAGTGAGGACTTTAATCATTGACTCATTCACCTCATACTATTTGTCCTTGCTCAATCTTAGAGGCTATTAGGGATACAGGAACCCGTATGTCCCACGTTTAAGGAGTTTATACCATGGTAGAGGAAATTTAAAGTCAATGTCAGAGGAAAGGGTAGCATCAGAAAGAAAAGATATGCTGAAGGAAACTGCACAGGAATATAAGAATCATGGGTCTAAAGGGAGAGGAGATGTCCAAACCTAAGCCAGTCTAGAAGGGAGGAGAAAGAGCAAGAGAGAAAGAACTTTCACTTATTAAATACTAGTCCTAGACACTGAGCTATACTATCAATTAATCCCTGCCACATTGATCCTGAAAACAAACATATTTCACTTTATGAATCAGGAAACTTTGAGGAAATTTACCCAAGGTCACATAGGTATTAAAGTGATACAAACCACTTTCAAAGTCAGAGATTTCTGACTCCAGAGAGCACACATTTCTCCCATCCCACTCTGGCAGATTAAAAAATGAGTTGGAAGCATTTGCTGTATTCCTAGTGTGTTTTACCTTCTACTTTTTTCTAAATGGGAATTTTGTTTTTACTAGCTCATTGGTCTTCCAGCCAATATATATTTATCTACTGCATGGTCAGGATTTGAAGGCCTTTGAATACACTCTGTGATTCAACTTCAAGCCTATAAGCTATCATTCAAAAATCTTAACCTTGATGAGCTTCAAATATTGATTCTGATTTTTGTGCCTAACTTCTGAAATCAGTGTCTTTGGAGGTACGCATCATATATGTATGTGTTTACTTTAGACACAACCCAGAACCACAGATAATAGGATATTGGTTATTTGATATGTCTCTCTCTTTTTTTTTTGGTGAGAAAGATTGGCCCTGAGCTAACACTTATTGACAATCTTCCTCTTTTTGCTTGAGGAAGATTGTCTTTCAGCTAACATCTGGACCAGTCTTCCTCTATTTTCCAAGTGGGTTGCGGCAACAGCATGGCTTGATGAGTGGTGTAGGTCTGCACCTGGGATCTGAACCTGCAAACCCCAGGCTGCTGAAGTGGAGCACATGAACTTAACCACTATGTCACCCGGCTGGCCCCTCATATGTCTCTTAATGAATTGTAGCTAGCACTGCAATACAGTTTGTGGGAGTTAAAAATAAGTTGAAAGGAGATCTTAAAAAGTTACTAAAATGAAAAATTAGAAAGAAAAAACTATTACAATAAAAACAGATTGCATAATCTTGAAAACAGAAAAACTGCAAACCAAAATAATGCTTCTTCACACATATTTTGGATTGCTTTATAAAATTGGCCTAATTTAGAGTCCTGATTCCAAAATGAATTTGTCATAGGAATCAAAGTGATCAACGAAATTAAAAAGAAATAATTCTTGCTTTCTTTTCTTCTTCAAATATTTACTGACACCACCATCGGGACAATGCTTAGCACTGAGAATACAGATGATTGTGCCACAATGTTTGTTTACTGTTAGCTCAAAATTTAGCAGATAAGACAGATATGCAATTGAAATATTATTCAAATTCACTCTACCAACAATTCTACAAGTAAAAATGGCCTATTACTCTGGCCCAGAATTTTAAAAAAATAGCTAGTAACTTCTTTTATCTGGCTTTTGTCAGGCTACCTATTGTAGGATGTGAAAAATCTGATAGACATATGGCAATTTAAACCCAGAAGCTGTTACACTCTCACCAGATGCACTGTAGATTGGCAACTACTTATGTAATACGTTTGAGCTTCAGATCAGTCTCCAGGTTACATTTTTTAAAACACTGAGCAGATGTGCATAAGGAAACTCTTGCTTATTATCTCTTGTCATTAGAAATCTGAAAATCTCTGTTGACAAATGCTAATAGTTATTAGCCTCCCTCCTTGCTACTATGCTCTTAAGTGTTGCAGAGTCAACATATTTTATCCACATAGATCATTTTCGATACTAGGACTCTCAGCTGTGGACCAGTAAGTGGTAACATGGTATACTGGAAAGATTATAACGTTGGGGGTAATTGTAGGTTCAAATCCCAATACTACCATGCCCTTGTTCTGGTATGTGATCAGGAATGAGTTATTTAACTTTAATGAGTCTCACCTGTAAGCTGTAGATGGTAATTCCTATTTCAATGGACTACTACGATGATTGCATATAATAAACATTGGTTACTTTCCCCTCACAATTCATTAACTTGAATGTCATTTTGTATCAACTATGAATATATATATGCTACCATTTTCATAATAACAGAGCTCAAGGTGAGAAATTTTCTCCAAATAAATGGATTGAAAAAACTTTCTTTGTGTATGAAATTATTAATTAGGAATCTACAATTTTATATTATTTCCTATAGTAAAGCTTTAGTGTATTTTAATAGCTAAAACATCTTTAAAAATCATGCCTAATATAGAACAACAACTTTGAAGGAAAGAAAAATAGAGAATAAGAACTAATGGCAAGGATTTTGATGTATCAAACAGTGTTCTTAAAAGTGTGGCAAAAGATGAGTAAATAGGAATTAACTACTCTGCACCCCATTCTCGTCCCATGCCTTAGTTCAGGGCCTCAATATTTCACTGACAGGAAACATCCTATAGTTGGCTGTTGAATCCTGTGTCATTGTCAGTTCTAAGCTGGAACCTGGTTCTGCTGCTTATTATTAATGCAACCTTCAATAATAAGCTCCTTAACCTTTCTAGGCCTTAGTTTCTCCATCTGTCAAGTGGGAATACTAATTCCTAAGGGTTATTGTGAGTTAATGTATGTAAACCACCAATAGTACAGTAGTGTCTGAAACATAAGCTCTTGGCAACTATGCGTTCCCTTCATTAGTTCTTTAGTCTCTCTTGACTTTCATTTATTCTTTACAGTGTACCAGGAAGAATGGTGTGCATATCTAAGCATTAATCTTTACAATAGTATAGAGTTATAATTAAAATTATCCACTGAATGCTGAACATAATGCTTAGTGCTGGGAAGAGCAAGAAAAATAACCAAAGAAAAAAATAGTCTTTGTCTTGAAAAAGTGTATAATCAAATTGCAGACTTTGGAAGCCATTAAAATTAGTGAGGATACTGTCCAGAAATTTTACAAAAATAAGGGACTCTGTGATACTACACTGCACTGAAAATAAAACTGTATTCCTTATTGGATATTTAGTACAATGCAATGTAATTTTCTTTTAAGCATCTTGGTTATGGATATATTTCAATATTGATATATTTCTAGTCTAAATTGTAAATATAAACTATTTCAGTGATCATAGTGACAGTGCCCTTATTCTACAGAATGATCAATTACTAGTTGGTGGGGCACATGATATATATTTGAACTCATAGATCACACATCTTTATATAATAAGATTTTTATGTACTCAAAATACCTCCTATTATGAGAGCTCCTTATATGTAAAAGTCCTTAAAATTGTTTGAGCTTCCTTCTCTCCTTCCTTTCTCCTTTCCTCCTTCCTTTTTTCTTCCTTTCATTTTCTCATTCTTTTGTTCTTTCTTTTCTTTCTCATTGAGAACTTTAACAAGCAAGATCCAACTTACATTGGAAATATAAAGGCTAAACATTTGGTGTAACTAGTTAAAATAAGGTCTTTTTGATTAATCATGAAAAACTAGAGGGGACAGAAATAACCAAAGAAATTATTTCATCCATAAAACTATTCTATATTATAAACAAAAGGCATATTCAATAGAATAATTATACAGTTATTTATAAGGTTCAAAATATTACCTAAATTGTTTTAATTTTTTGCTAGTTTAAAATTTTTTCCTTTTTATGAGTATTATTTTTCAAATCTATTTGTTTATGCTATATTAGACATGAAAGTTTGCCTTAACTTTTATTTATTTAACTACCATGGACCTCCTTATTTATGTTGTATCATTTTCTGTATTATGTTTGCAATACAGATTCTGAGTTATAAAATGATAAAATATGTGGCTGAAATTTATGCCTGCCACCTACAGTTTTATTGTGCTTCACATTATTGAACTTCTCAGATATTGCATTTTTTATACTCTGAAGGTTTTGGCAACCCTGTGTCAAGCAAGTCTATTGGCTCCATTTTTCCAACAGCATTTGCTCACTTCATGTTTCTGTGTCATATTTTGGTAATTATTGCAATATTTCAAACTTTTTCATTATTATTATATTTATTATGGTGATCTATGATCAATGATCTCAGATGTTACTATTGTAATTGTTTTGGGGCGCCACAAACCGTGCCCACATAAGATGGCAAACAATCAGCAAATGTGTGTGTTCTGAATGCTCCACTAACCAGCTGTACCCCAATCTCTCTCCCTCTCCCCAGGTCTCTCTATTCCCTGAGACACAACAATATTGCAATTAGGCCAATTCATGACCTTACAATGGCTTCTAAGTGTTCAAGTGAAAGGAAGAGTCACACGTCTATCATTTTAAATTAAAATCTGGGAAAGATTAAGCTTAGTGAGGAAGGTACGTTGAAAGCTGAGATAGGCCAAAAGCTAGGCCTCTGGTGCCAAATAGTTAGCCAAGTTGTGAACGCAAAGGAAAAGTTCCTGAAGGAAATTAAAAGTGTTACTCAGTGAATACATGAAAGATAAGAAAGCAAAACAGCTTTATTGCTGATATGGAGAAAGTCTTACTGGTCTGGATAGAAGATCAAACAAGGCACAACATTCCCTTAAGGCAAAGCCTAACCCAGAGTAAGGCCCTAACTTTCTTCAATTCTATGAAGGCTCAGAGAGGTGAGGGAGCTGCAGAACAAAAGTTTGAAGCTAGCAGAGGGTGGTTCATGAGGTTTAAGGAAAGAAGCCGTCTCCATAACATGAAAGTGCAAGGGAAAGCAGCAAGTGATGACATAGAAGCTGCAGCAAGTTACCCAGAAGACCTCGCTAAGAGAATTAATGAAGTCGGCTACGTTAAACAATGGACTTTCAATGTAGACAAAGCAGCCATCTAGGACTTTCATAGCTAGAGAGAAGTCAATGCCCGATTTCAAAGCTTCAAAGGACAGGTTGACTCTCTTTGTTAAGGGCTAATGCAGCTGATGACTTTAAGTTGAAGCCAGTGCTCATTTACCATTTTGAAAATCCTAAGGCCCTTAAGAATTATGCTAAATCTACTCTGTCTGTGCTCTATAAATGGAGCAAAAAAGGCTGGGTGACAGTATATCTGTTTACAACTTGGTTTACTGACTATTTTAAGCCCACCATTGAGACCTATTGCTCAGAAAAACAAGATTCTTTTCAAAATATTTCTGCTCAGTGACAATACACTTGGTCACCCAAGAGCTCTGATGGAGATATACAATAAGATTAATGTTATTTTCATGCCTGCTAACATGACATCCATTCTGCAGCCCATGGATCAAGGAGTAATTCCAACTTTCAAGGTTTATTATTTAAGAAATACATTTCATACAGCTATAGCTGCAATAGAGAGTGATTCCTCTGATGCCTGGGCAAAGTAAATTGAAAATATTCTGGAAAAAATTCACCTTTCTAGATGCGATGAAGAACATTCGTGAATCTTGAGAAGAGGTCATAACATCAACATTAGCAGGATTTGGAAGAAGCTGATTCCAACCCTCATGAATGAGTTTGAGGGGTTCAAGACTTCAGTGGAGGGAGTAACTGATGATGTGGTGTAAATAACATGAGAACTAGAATTAGAAGAGGAGCCTGAATGTGTGACTGAATTGCTGAATCTCATGATGAATCTTTAATGAATGAGGATTTGCTTCTCATGGATGAGCAAAGAAAGTGGTTTCTTGAGATGGAGTCTACTCTTGGTGGAGAGGCTGTGAAGAATGTTGAAATGACAACAAAGGATTTAGAATATTACATCAACTTAGTTAATAAAGCCACAGCAGGATCTGAGAGGGTTGACTCCAAGTTGGAAATAAATTCTACTGTGGGTAAAATGCTATCAAACAGCATTACACACTACAGAGAAATAGTTCATGAAAGGAAGAGTCAATCGATGGGACAAACTTCATTGTTGTCTTATATTAAGAAATTGCAACAGCCACCTCAGGCTTGAGCAACCACCACCCTGATGGTCAGCAACCATCAACATGGAGACAAGACCCTCCACCATCAAAAAGATTATGACTCATTGAAGGCTCAGATGATGGTTAGATTTTTTTAGCAATAAAGTACTTCTTAATTAAGATATGTACATTGATTTCTAGAAATAATGCTATTGCACACTTAATAGGCTACAATATAGTGTAAGCATAACTTTTATATGTACTGGAAAACCAAAAAATTCATGTGACTCACTTTACTGTGATATTTGCTTTATAGCACTGGTGTGGAACTGAGCCTACAATATCTCCAAGGTATGCCTGTATATTAGCATTCATTTTATAACAATTTGACCAAAAAATGAGTATAGAAAATTTGTCTTAGAACCTTGGTTCATCTTTTGAGTCTAACAACTGAATATGTAAAGCATTCCCCTAATTAGACTTTCAAGAAGAAAGTGAGCCACAAGAAAGACCCTGTTTTCAGTACTCTGTGAATATTGACCACTTGGAGAAAAAAATGTCAGCCTCTACTTCTAACAGGTGAAGTTCAGGTTTCAGAGCTTCCAACAGAAATCCATTCCACAGAGAGAAGATTCTCTGTACAAACCATGGATACAGTGGAACATTCATGCATCATGCTATTCTGTATCTACTGATAGGTGGAAATGTTACCCAAGATTCTTTCCACATTTTACAGAATTTGGTGAGTGAGGAGGAAAGCTCTCATGTCAAACACAACAGTTTTCAAAGCACAAATGTTGAGTGACTATGTAATAACCAAGATACTTCTGGAAGTGAAATAGGGCACTGTTCATAATTGTCCCAGTGCAATAGACATAAATGGGGACTATCCAGGGCAAATGAGGGGCAGGGCAGGAAACCATCTTACTCATGGGCTGTAGTGAAAGGCCACCGTCTTCCAAGATACCCTCCCACACTGTCAGCAATATATGCCAAAGTAACTAGCTGGCCCAGTTCTTTTTTCTTTTCTTTTCAAAAGTCTTGATTATTTTCTATTCAAAATCATGCATGTTTTGGTCAGGTTTGTCCTTACCTGGCTGACCTACAGTGTATGTTTAATTTTGCATGACAAGGAGAGCCCACGGTCTAGTTACATACTCTCTTACCAGAAGGTATACCAGTAATACTGAGTAAAAACTATTTTTTTTCTACTTTTGTGGCAACAATTGTTACTGACTATGAATCAAGTAGCTGGAGTGGGGAGAGGGGCAAGTAGAGCAGTGCCAAATAGGAGCTCCTGTCCCAGACTATAAATTGAATTCTTATTAAGGTGTGAGCCATCCTTCACGACACAGAGATTTGGGACTTTCACCAAATAACCTTAAGAGTAATAGGCATTCCTTGCCTTTTTTTGTGGTTTTGAATAGCAAAGTTCTGGTTGAACACTAGTCTTTCAGTATCAGATTTTTATCTGTAAAGAGGGACTAGTACCACTTCACGTTATTGCTGTGAGGATAAACTGACATAACGTACTTCAATGTTAATTATTATTCATTGGAGTACAGAGCGATCATTTTTTTCTATGGCTAGAGAATTGACTTGAGGCAAGGAATTGTGAACAGTTTGATTTGTAGATTTCGTCTAGATATAATATCCATGGCCTAAAAATAACCAAAGCAGTGCTGGTACTTCAATCTTCCAAACTTCTGAACGACCCTATGTCTCTTTCTTCCAGGATGCTTTCCCCTGTGTAGCCTTTAAGGTACAAATCCTCTGGAAAGGTTTCCCTGAATCATTCTGGTAGAATGCAGTAGACTCCGGGCTCCTATAATCCTTCACACATGCCCTTATCAGGGCAGAGAGCAGGTTCCACTCTAATGCAGGGTTTGCTTTTTATCTAACCCAACAGACCATGAGTTCTTTCCAAGCTCTACTGCAAGCATGTAGAGCAGTACTAGACTCTTAATAAACATTAACTGAATCAATGAATGAATGAATAAAATGTGCATGGCATAGTCAACTTGGCTGTGGTGCTGAATCCCTAAAGGAGTTAGAGATAAAGAAAGAAAAGCAGGTTGAATTCAGATATTAATATTCCAAAATACTCTTTAAGAGTCCCTGTGAAGGACGTTAGCTTTTTAGGAGAACCAATCTTGAGATGCAATGACAGTGGTAGCTGCTTGGCAAATTCAGCCAAATAAGCAATTTGGATAATTTCATATTGGAAGCATCTATATTTGCTTATATCAATTCTCTGTATTATTGTACTCCTCTCTTTTTGGTGTCCTCATCTGAGAAATAATAATACTATTACTTACCCATTATATATAATGTATATTATAAAAGCAAGTACAAAAAGTAGATACGATATGTGATCTTTAGAAGTAAAAATGAGATTGTAGATATTTTTGAAGTAGATTTTCCCAATTCTTACACACAACTTGGTTGGCTTTTTTGCATTTTGGGACAATATAAACACTTGCAGGCTGTGGAGGCTATTTATCATACAGATGTATTAATTTAGGCCAGCGGTCAGCAGAGTTTTTCTGTACAGGACCAGATAGCAAATCTTTTAGGCTTTGCAAATCAGCTGGTCTCTGTCTCAACTACTTAATTCTTCCATATTAGTGCAAAAGGTGACATAGACAATATTCAACTATGTGTGGCTGTGTACCAATAAAATTTTATTTACAAAAAAATACAGTTGGGCAGGATTTTGTTCATGGGCAATAGATTGCAACTCCTGACTCAAGCCCAAGGCAAGAACAAGTTAATAAAAGTTACAAGATTTTTTACTTACCAGAGGATGGCTTTGGTGCCAGGAAAATATCTGATTTTTAAGGATATCAACTCCCTATGCTGTACAAAGAACCTGGTAATTCTCTGTTCATTTTTAATTTAAAGCATTTCTGTGTGTAGGGTAATTTTACATGAAGCTCTACCATGCAAAAGAAGTATGATTATAAATTATTACTTGGTTTTTTTGTACCTAACAAACAATATTTAGTTCCAATTAATTTGCATTTTCAGTTAGACTTTTGGGACTAGAGCATCATGCTTTGCTGGCAACACTTACTGTACACTTGTAATTGTCCACGAAAGGAATTTTTTCCGCGTGAGTTTTCAGCTCTGCACTCATATATGCCTGCGTCGTCCAGCTGCACGTTGGGTATTTCAAGCACTGCCTGAGATTTCCGCAGACGTGCCTTACTGGGAACATAACCATTAACTTTCATCCATGTGATTGTTGGAACTGGGCTACAATAAGGAGAAAAATACCATTAATACACTTTCCACTATTAGGAACATAGATTCTGTTATCTGGTAATTTAAGCACTTAATAGGTTGAGTGCAATAAAGTGTAATCACAATTAAGGAGCATGTGCTGGTTGATAGATTTCACTTTCCACGCAGATTGTCTGGTAAGTAGTTAGATTACAAGGGAGATAGTTTCCCTTTCTTTCATATTTCCGGAAAACAATTCAGAGACAATATTTTATACATTTTAATACATTATACTTTATTTTTTGAAACTTCGTAAGATTGTTTAAATGGCAAAAGTAACTTGGTGAAATTACAAAAGGGAATATATGCCTATGGCAACGAGTCGAACAAAAGAGCTATGAACGAAATGAATTAAGAATTCTTTTTGCCCCCACTCCTACAACTATCTTCTTTCTGCAACAACAAATACAGTTTGCAGGTAATCTCATGCCTCATCTCTATGATTCATATATATATATATACACATATGTTGAGTTATTTTTGTTTTGTTTAAAAAATGTAAGTCTTACATACTTGATATTTTATTATTAAAAGATCAAATCCAAGATTAACTCCTGACTTATTCTGGTTAATGGCTACATATTATCCTACTGCATAGATATATGAAAATTTCATTAACTATCTCCTATAGTTAGATATTCAGCATGGAAGTCTCATTTTTTTTTTTTTGGTCACTAAGAAACAATATTGCTATAAACAACCTTGCAACGTATCATATACTGTGGATTTTATTTTCAGCAACAGGCAGTCACAAAAGTGGAATTGATGGATCAAAGGGCATGCACATTTTTCATTTTAATACATACTTCCAGATTGCTTTTCAATAATACAGTAGCAGTTTCCACAGCTATCAGTAATATACGAGACTGCTCCCCCATATCCTTGCCACTATTTTATGTGATCAATCGTTTAATTTTTGTCAGTATTGAAAGATAATTAAAGGCATTTTTTTGCTACTTTAATTAATATTTCTTTGAACGCAAAGAAGGTTGAACATCTTTCATAATTTTATCAGCTATTTGCATCTGCTTTTCTGTGCATTGTTTGCTTCTGCTCGTTTTCTCATTTTTTTCTTTGCCTGTTGCACGGTTTAAATTAATTTCTCAAAATTCTTTGTGTATTACAGCCATTAAGACTTTGTCAGAAAAATTCTTGCTCAGTGTATTGTTAGTTTACCATGGCCTCTTTGATGCAATTTTATAAACATTTTTTGGAGAAACAAACATATCTACAGTTTCCTTCACAACTTCTGAATTTTCGTTTGTTTACAAAATTATGTGTAAACCCATTTATGTCCATATTTTCTTCAATATTTCTAGTAGTATTTTTTTATTATTTTCAAATAGTTGGATCTTTAATCCATCTGAATTATATTCACATTTTTGGTGTGAGATAGAAAATGCAACTAATTATTTCGGCATCATTAAAAGCAAACCTCCTCTTTCCACAATATTTGGAATGTTGTCTTTGTCGTATAATTGATTCTCACATACTTGAATCTGTTTCAGGCCCCTCAGTTCTGTTGCACTGATTTATTTATTACTATCTATATTTAATGCACTTTAAGGTCTGCACCCAGTCTGCTTTTTCAATTTGATTTCTCATTACTTCCTTCCATGTCTCTTGACCCAGAAACACATCTCGGTGTGTTTCCAATCATATCTGTTAAAATCCTACTAATCCTTCGAGACCCGTCCTAAATGCCTCTGCTTCGGAAAAGTCTCTCCTTATTTGTGTAGTCTGCTGGGATTTTTTTTCTTTTAAATAACAAAGTGCTTTGTGTATTCTACTTGCATCTCTTATAACATTCCACCACAGATTGTAATTGCTAAGTGTAGGATATTTTTCCACTAATTTTCCTTTTAGGGGTGATAGCAAAGTTCCCTATTATAAACAATCCTATGATAAACACCTTGTGTATTTTTAAAAAATTGTTTTTATTGAGGTAACATTGGTTTATAACATTATATAAATTTCAGGTGTCCATAATTCTATTTCAATTTCTGTGTAGACTGTATCATGTTTGCTATCCGAAGACTAATTACCATAGGTCACTGTACACATGTGTCCTGTCACCCCTTTTGCTCTCTCCCATCGCCCCTTCCTCTCTGGTAACCATCAATCTAATCTCTATATCTTTGTATTTGTCTGTTGTTTTTATCTTTCACATATAAGTGAAATCATAGGCTTTTGACTTTCTCTGACTTAATTTCACTTAGCATAATATCCTCAAGGTCCATCCAGGTTGTTGCAAATGGTAAGATTTCATCTTTGTTTTCTGGTTGAGTCCTATTTCATTATGTGTATATACCACATCTTCTTTATCCTTTCAATGTGTATTTTTGAACACCTTTCTGATTTGCTCCTTAAGAATAAAATACAGAATTGAAATTGCTGGATTAGAGTTGATAATTTCTGCTTGTTTGTTTAGGTCTATATATCTGACATCCAAAAAAATTGAACTTTGCATTTTGGGCTAACCTTATGTTGGCAAGGCGTATCATTTTTTAATATGTATGAGAATTGATTTGCGAGTTTTTTATTTGGAATTTTTGCAACTATATTCAAAGGTAAGATTGTAGTTTATTAGGTTTGTTGGTTTGCACTTGTGCTTATTTATTAGTGAGCTGGTGGCTGGTTTGTTTGCAAGCTAGCTTTGACAGATTTTGTATCATAATGATGGATGATAGCTTGGTAAACATGCCAGAATATTCCCATTTCCTATTCTGTATCACTTAAATAATAGGGAAATAATGTACTCTTTAGAGCAATGATAGAACTCTCACAAAAAGTCACCAGGGTCTGCCACCATCAATGAAGTTAGTTTTTTGACTTTTTTGACACTGTTTTAAATTTCTTCTGTTTTCCCTCTTTTTTTTTTTTTTTTAGACTTTTGTCTTTTATTTAAGGTAAGCTTTTCTTTTCTTTTCTTTTCTTTTTTGGTGAGGAAGATTGGCCCTTAGCTAACATCTGTTGCCAATCTTCCTCTTTTATTTTATTTCTTCCCAAAGTCCCAGTACATAGTCGTACTTCCTAGTGTAAGTCCTTCTAGCTCTTCCATGTGGGATGCTGCCACAGCATGGGTTAAACAGCAGTGTCCAAGTTGGCACCCAGGATCCTAACCAGCGAATCCCGGGCCGCCAAAGTGGAGTGCACAAACCTAACCACTACACAACTGGGCCAGCCTCAATTTCTTCTGTTTTCTTTAATTGTATCATGTTTAAATTTCTGCTTGCATCAACTTTGGCAATTCATGTTCCCCTAGAAAATCAACTATTTTGTCCATAATTTCAATGTTTTATCAGTGAGTTATATAAATAGTAACTGTTTAAAGTTTTAAAAAATCCTTCAATCATGAGTGGTCACACATTGTAATAACAAATTTCCTGGGGATGCAAATAGCCCTGCAACTACACGTTATTTAACATCTCATTTCTTCAGTTCCCATGAATGTAAAAGGTGTTGAAAATATTACTACCTATTTCAGAGAGTAACTGTGAACATTAGATTTAAAGTGCCTGGCACAGAACAAGCAGGCAAAAAGTGTCTGCAATGATATGATGATGACAATGTTTGTATCTTCTTTATAATGTCAATGGTATATATCCCCCCCTTTCTTTTTTTTTTTTGAGGAAGATTAGCCCTGAGCTAACTACTGCCAGTCCTCCTCTTTTGTGCTGAGGAAGACTGGCCCTGAGCTAACATCTGTGCCCATCTTCTTCTACTTTATATGTGGGATGCCTACCACAGCATGGAGTGCCAAGTGGTGCCACGTCCGCACCTGGGATCCCAACTGGCAAACCCGGGCCCACGAGAAGCAGAACGTGGGAACTTAGCCACTGCGCCACCGAGCCGGCCCCTCCCCTTATTTTTTTAGCATTGTATGTTGATAGGAGCATAGCCCTTCAGGTAGTACAGTTTAGATTCAAATACAATTTGGACACAAAGATTCTATGAGACCTTAGGAAAGTTACTGACGTTCTATGAATTTGATTTTTCCATCTGTAAAATGGAGATAATTATTTGTTCTTTCAAAAGCCAATATCTTGGGGGCAGTGACATCATTTCTCTGGTTCAGCAGTAAGTCCACAGCATCTCTTAGAATGCTAGACACATAGTTAGTACTTAATAAATGTTTATAAAGTAAATAAATAAGTGATTCTGATAATATTGTTTTGAGGATTAAATGAGCTAAGTTCTTACGGGTTACTTAGCAAATATATGGCGAATAGAGTACTCAATTAATAGCTATAATGATATTTAAATGATTAGCTTTTTCAGAGATTTTCCTATTTTATTGATCTTTAAAATAAACATTTTGAGTTTTTAATACTACTTGTTGAATAAATCTGTGTAGCTAAATATAGGATCAATTTCTGTGAAAGTTACATGTCGATTGGGAAAAAAGGTACATTTTGTTTATGATAAATGTTTAAAAATTAGCTTTTAGATAGTTTATAATTTTGTCATTCAAATATTATTTTAGTGCTTTTCATAATTTTAAAGCAATTTAACATTTTATCAAATCAGATCTCCTATGAAACATTTGTACATTAAAAAGTTTTTAAAAAAAACTCAACAGATAAAAGCAGAGCTAGTGTGCTTGAAGCAGGAACGAAAGACCTAAGTTATCTGCTTATCCCTCCACTCCACACAGCATAGTAGAAAGCTACTTCTGTCTGTCCTTTTCCATTTTTGTCCTAATTGATCTGTCCCGATGAGAGAATTGTGGTAAACTTCCCACTATTTCCATTACTACCAGTGTTTTTTTGGATTTAGAAAAATTTTATTTTGTACTTTGAGTAATTTTTTCTTTGCAAATAAATGTTTTGAAAGTTAATACAATTTTTAGAGTTTTAATCTATCAAAATAAAATGATCCTCTTCCTAATTTAGTAATATTTTTACTTTAAATAATCCTTTATCCTATTTATCTTCTTTTTTTTTGTGGTGTGTCACTTTGTTTTGATCTGA